ATTAAGCAGCGGTAAGTTATTGGCAAAAGTGTGGCACAAATTTCTGCTGACTGCTGCCAGTAGCAGGACACCACCGCCTTTCCATAGACTTTCTGGCTTAAACGCCCGCCCCACTTCACTTAACTTTCAGGCGATGCTGTTTCCCTTTTTGCCTGTTGCCCAGCCCAGCCCAGCTCAGTGCTTTTGGCGTTGAAATTCTCCAGTGTTTTGCTTTTGGTCAAGTATGATTGGAATTTTATATGGCCAAAAGGTTCGAACTTCGACGACGACGCCGACGACGACGTCAAAATGGCCAACACGTATATTGAGGAGCAGCGGGTGGTGTTTGACTTTTATTTGGTAATAGAGAGAGCTCTCTAGCCTTTTTGCAGAGCAAAGCAAATTGTTACCGACTGCTCTTCGGTATTATTATTAATTTATGTACCGCCAGCAAAGCTATCCAACTAGCCAGTCAGCGAAGCGGTGAAAGTCCGATCGGAATCAATAAACTAGTCACGTTTGTGGCACCCCAATGGCCAATTCAATCCCATCGGAGGAAACCGGAAATGAGCAGCAAGCGTAAAATATCCATTCGCAATTTGTTGAGCTGCCGCGATTAATGAAGACCAAACGAAATCGGGCGAAAGAAATCGGCTAATTTATGTTCACTTATCAAAATGGCGCTAATTGAAAATTAGCCTGTTATCGTGCAATTATCAGGATGCGTCCCTTCTGCACATATGACTCCATTGCCAATTTAGTATACATCGTTCGTTCGCTTTTCATGATGATGATGAGGAGCACATCGAAGGGGAAATTCAATTTCCATAGCCCGAAAGATAAGCCTTGGAAGTCGGATGCTCTGGCCTTGCCATTGGTTTATATATTTTGATTTGTGCGAACAGAGATTTCCTGTCCTGGCCCACCCCCACAAACTCCCTCGCAGATAAACGTGGCTAAATTAAGAGGCACCCCTTACCCCAGATCTCGATGGAGTTAATAGACCATGGGCACGTTAAATTTATGGGCAATAAGCGAGGACTAGCAACTGCGGCTAAAGGCACAGAGCGTGGCTTGTTTTCATAATGGTGGGGCGATGAGATTGCAATTGGTTGAACAATGTTGAAAAGGACTTAACAGATTGTTGGCCAAGATATGGCAGTTAATGCGAAATCGAAAAGGAGAGTCAGATGGGGGTGTAATATAATAGAGGGAAACTGTTATTCGGTTTGCAAATTTACAATTTTACCAGTTTATCAAACTTATCTAGCTAGAAAAACCCAAAAATATGATAAGATTCTTTCCTACTTCTGAAAACCCAAAACCCTACACAGATAGGGAACACCCTTGGATAGGCTATACCCACCCTAATCCATATCCTTATCTCTAACCAAAAGATATCCTCAATAGAAGGTTTAGTAGATGCGTGTCCGTTCGTGTTTACATGGCCTATTGCCGAAATGCCAACAAATTGGACAACTTAAAGAGCTCATCAAATTAACTGCACGCATCTGTAGAACTTTTGGCCATTTTCACTTGTTCTACATATTTATTATTATCTTTCTTTTTCCTGTCTCTGCTGTTGTGTTTGTTCTTCTTCTCAATTTCATTTTGTCAGTTTTTGTTGGTTCCTCCTTCTCCGTTATCCCTGCTGACATGACATGAACTGTAGTTTATTTATTATTTCTCTGTGCCCCATTCTTCTTCTGGCTTCTTTTCATTTTATTTATATCCTTGACGCATGCTAACATGTATGTACATGTATATGTTTTAAGAATCAGGTCATACACTCAAACAAACTACAGCACACACACACACACACACACACACATACAGACATATACGTATGTCGTGCAGTTTATTGTCAATTGTTTGTGGCATTTATTTCGCAATTGTTTTCCTTTATTTTGTCACTTTATTTGCTCTGCCAGCCCAGCTTTGCTGCCCAGCCCAGCTTTTGTTCATTTATTTATTTATTTGATTAGTTTTTATTGCATGACAATTTTTCGTGCATATGATATAAACTGTTTCTATTTCTTTTCACCTTACTCTTTGCCTTCTTTTTTAGTTCTCTTTTTGTCAAAAGCTCGAATGCAGATATTTTGACCCCCTTTTAAATTATTGGAGCAGGCAGAACCATTTCTAATTGAATTTCTGTTTTAAGAGAATAAGAAAAGTTCTTTATTCTTTATCTATATAGGGTGGCCCACGGAAGATTTGCGTTTTAAAATCGCTTTAAAAATATCAATATTACCCTATTTCGAGCCTAAAATTAACCATTTTGTAAACCGCAAACCTTCTACTTACTATCTGACACATTCACAATGACATTCGAAATCTCAAAGTCAAAATTATCAATAGTTCAAAAAGCAAACGCTACATGGGCCACCCTGTAATAAGATACATATAACTGAAACTTAGAAAATCTTTTAAAACAAAAGAAATTCCTTTAACTACAATCAAAAACTTACAATTTACCTTACCCGAAAAACCAAACAAAACACATCCCTTTTAGGCCATTTGCTTTTGGGGGATAATTCATTCATCGTTTGACCATCATTTAACCATTTCAAAGTCAGTTGCCGGGCAAGGAGTCCATCATATGGTCTGCACAAACACAATAAAGGTCCTTCCGCAAGGTTCCCCAACCATTTACCCTATTTGACTGCAATGGGATTGCATTACTTTGACTGCAGCCATATGCAGAATGGTGGTGGTGATGGTGGAGAACTCTGGCTGTCAGGATAGCCATCCATCCGATGTTATTTGGTCGCTCAGTTGACTCCTTGCCCCGCAGTCGATTGAATTGCCATGCGGCACGTGCAACACGAATGGAGTCCCAGCAATCGTTCGGCGCATACAAAAGGAGGCCTCCAACCCCATTCCGCTAAAAGCTGATGATGATTGGGAACAGCAAAGGGTGAGCCATGCACTGAGAGATATTATTTAAATGTTAATGGATTTCCTATGCAAATTTTGGTTAAATGTAAGTACAGGAAGTAAACTTCTTTCTCTTTATCAGTATATTTTTATGGATTTTTAAAATATTTTTTTTAAGAATTTGTTAATGTGTAGAAGATCCAATTCTAAAGGTGGAGATGGACCCAACTTCAACGCGTGGTTTCAACTCAATTATCAAACTTTTGGCTGCCAATCCGGGAGCCCGCGAACCACCTGCCGATGGATCCACCGGATCCACCATACTCCACGCCGTAGACAGAGTGAAACAGACGTGTGGATTCGAAACAAACGGAAATGGATTTTTGATTGAGTGCACAATAAAATGTGAAATGCATTTTACAGACCGAAACAAGAGCGATATATGAACTGAAACAATATAACTCCACGAGAGGAGTTTAGTCGTGTGTATTTTATTATATTTTTAAATGAACAAAAAATAGATGAGACTCGTACTTAAAAACAAAACCAAAAAGTGTTTTTAATTTGCGGTGAAAAGTTGCCATTTATTTGCTGGGCCGTCCATCATGGAAGTCCATTTATTTCATTACGATGGGGGGAATCCCTTTTATTTCATTCTCCTGCTGGATATTATCTACTGCCGGACTGATGACTCCTTCTGCCTTCCACTTTATGGCGCATATTTGGCCAATTTATTGGCCTTATGGCTAACAAATTGCAAACACACAATGACGATGGAAAATTATTGCCCCACTCATTCGATTGGATGCAATGAAAAAGTTTTCCCCACTCTGGCTTTGACTTTTTCTGCATTTATAATTGGAAATCTATAAAGGGCGGATCGTAAAATTCAGACCCCCCCACTGAAGGGTCAGAAGGCCATAAAAACCAGTAACACTTAAGCCGAATTAAATGATGCCCTTATCAGGGGAATAAAATTGATGGATATGTATAAAATTTCATTCCATTACCAACTTGAAGGTTGGTAATTGGAGGACAGATTTTCTTTTTATTTAAACTTAGATTTATCCTCGGTTGTAAATATCTTGCCGAAAATATATATTCGCTCTGCTTAATCCAAAAAAAGAGACAAAAAATTAATTCGGATAAATTTGCTGAAGAAAACGTTGCCAATTTCGAGTCATGCCATTTCCCTATGGCCAAATTTGTATAGCCAACTTCTTGGGGCAATCTCGGTAGATCGATGTCTGGCACTGGCTGACTGAATCTCGGTCTAGACATTGTCTAATGACAAACGCAAACCGCAAAAGATGAAGGACATTGAGGGAAACGTTATGCAAGGCAGTCGGAGCCAAGTCAAATGGAAATGCCCGAACTCCCCGTCTGGCTGCTAGATAAATAAACTGAACTTTAAATGGATGCGGCCACCCAACGATGACTTTTCCATGGACCAGGCTAATTCCGATTGACCACACAAGGAGAAAAAGTAGCCTTTACTTACTAGATAATATTAAGTTTTTAGTTTTATGATAATATTTTTAAAATATTTGTATCAGAGATCACTTTACAGAGGGGAAAATCTGAAGAAGTTTTAGTGCGGGTTATTCCCTTAACGAATTGCTATAAATATGTTTAAAAAGTAATAAGCTTAATTGAAACCACAACCTTGTTTAGTTTTTCTCTCAGTGAAAAGTAGATTCGCCAGCAGAGATATGAAGAAACCCAACAACTTTTGCTGAGCACTGAGGCGAAAGAATCTCTCTCGAATCGAAATTCATAAAATGCATGCAAAATAAACCGAAAAAGTGGCGCATCATCATTATTTATTCGATTTTCTACCCACCGCCACACCCCCAGGCCAGCCCATCAACAAGAGACTCGACTCAATCAATGACGACATCGGCGTTTTAAATTTTGTAGGGCCCAAGAAGCTGGCAAAGTCAAATTTGCATAGCTCTAGCCATCGCCTGAGAAAGAGAAAAGTGGAGCCAGACTATTGAGAAATTAATATGCAAATTTCTGCCCGGTAGAACTTCGCATTGTTCCCATTCAAGTGAAATTTCTCGAGCTCCAAAAACTTTACCTTCTCGGGTATAAAATAGAAATCTCATGCCAAGAGCGGTTTCAGTATTATTTTTAAACACGAAACATGCAGACATCTTGGAGCTTTAATTGCGGAGGTGCGTTCTTTGAGGAATTGTGGTGTACGATGTGGGTTAAGGATACTTGAGAAATAGCCAAGAATATGTATCTAAGTGACTGTGTGAAAAAAGAGAAATGCTCAAGAGGGCAGCTCTTGCCTCCAGGAAAAGCAAATGTTGTCTAGAGATTTCTAGGGGGACACAGGGTCGTCTCCTTTGCCGAATTCCATCGAATGTGCTTCTAGAACTATCTACTGTCCAGGATTTCTGCGAAGGATATACGGGTATCCCCTGCTGAGTTCGGTTGGAAAAATCGCCACAAAAACCCAAAAGGTTCTGGGCGACTACGGCGCTTAGTTGGCTGCCATAATTGAGGATTAAGCCGGGTACGCGGATCTTTGGCTAGTCATAAAGCCATAAACGGGGAAATTCCCAGTGTCCGGGATGGCCAAGAAAAACCGAATGAAGAGCCTGTTAACGGTTTTTCGGTTTATGACATGCAAACGCGTGACTGGCACCCGCTAATTACCATGTCTACCTGGTCAAAGGATCTACCTGGTCGATAATATCCTTTAAAAGGATCTCACCGTGCAGGTCAGGGCATCATTCGCTCTAGAGACATAGAACCAGCAACACATCATGATTGATCAGCACAAGTCCAGCCACAAATCGGAGAAATCCAGCCGTAAATCAGGAAAGAAGCATTCCGACAAACCCCACAAAGTGAAGACCCACGATCCGCTAAAGAAACAGAAGAAGCGGGCCATGAAGAAGATGCGCCGCAATGCCAAGACCATCAACTTCCCGTACCAACTCTTCCTATATCGCCAGGAACTTAAACGAGCCAGTGCCGACTTCTCCTATCTCCGGCTTTCGAAGGCCAAGATACAGCTAACCTCGCAGCTGATAGCCAAGAAAATGGGCAGCTGCAATCCCATGTGCAGCGTGGATGAACTCAAGGAACTCAGCCGTGAGGTGCAGTTTCAGAAACGCCTCTGCCATCAGGTGGAGCGACTGCAGCAATTCCGGCAACTTGGACTCACCGAGATGATACTCAATGGCAAGAAGACGACCCTGTAAACTGTGGGATATTGGAGGGGAGGCTGATAGGCTGGGGCTAGGCATTATGTTAAGTTAGTCGGTAGTTTTTAGGTTGTAATATTTTATCAAATAAAATATCACATGGAAAGAGCAAAAAACATCATTTTTTTAAACTCATATTTAGTATAGTAATTACAAAATAATTAATATAATCACTGACCTTGTGACCTCTTAGTTTTGCTCCTTTGTGCGACTCTGTGCTCTGGTCAGAATGTAACAAAACCGAATGGCAACCAGCCGGCCATCAAAGTGAAGATCTATCCGCAGTCATCTACATTAGAATCGTCGACTAGCTCCTCTAGTACTACCACTACCACCACCACGACTCCCAATCCCAAAGGCAACCCGACTCCCAAGTCCTCGATACCGGCACACGAAATCGAGGAAGATGACTATAACTTCCACAACGATCGTCTGCCCGAATTAACAGAGGATGAGTACAACAATCTCAGTGAAGATGCCAATCCGCTGCACTTCCTCAAGCATCAGCCGCTGGATCTGGAAAGTGACGAGGTGAGAAGCTTTTAGAGGTTTTATATAAAAAGATTAGAGAATTTTCAGTCTAGAGGGTCTATAATAAATGTTCAAAGATCTAGTCTTTAGTTACTAATTTTACTTTTTTTGCTTTTCCTTTCCATAGACGAAGCCACCCCAATCCGAAAAGGAAGAGCAGGAGGTGGGTTTCTGGAATTTATTCCTTATTAGTGTTAAGCAAATTCAGTTTTAAATGATAAGCAAATTTCTTATATGCAAACTTTTTTTCACATAAACCCCCTACTTTCAACTTCATTTTTTCCTTGCATTTTTAATCTCACTCATTTGCATTCCATTTTTTGCATTTATTTTTGCATTTCTAACTCATTTCTAATCTTCCATCTTTTCAATATCAAATCAATATCAAAAAACTAGTATACTCGTATAACTTTCACATTCTACAATATGTTTAAAATCTTTTAAGAAATAAGAAAAACTTTTAAAGTAATCGAAGATCTCAATAATAAATATTTCCCATAATCTATATTTTTTAGCCTCAGGCTGAAAAACAGGAATCTCCAAGCAAGACCCAGCCCGAATCGCCAGTAGCTGCTCCACAACTTCCTAGTTCACCCATCTACATAACGATTCCCATTTATATCAGCACGGGTGGTAAGCTCCCTGTCACCCTAACCATTGGTGATCAAGAAGTGTCCCTGAAAAAAGCATCAGGATCTGGGTCCAGCAGGAAGAATCCCTCTACCAAGGCACCCAACTCGCATTTCAATCGCTTGCTACAGCAAATTGAATCGCCCAAGAGGAGAACCACCAATCGCCATCGTAGCCAGCTCAAGAGTCACATCCATGCGCTGGAGGAGAGGAAGAATCGCAGGGATCTAGTGTACCATCCGATGGACTAAACATTATCGTTTTCAAGATATATGGCATATAATTTATAGCTAAACAATAAATAAATGACAATAAATAGCTGAGGAATGAGTTGTGGAACTTAGTTGCTAGACTAGACAGCATTGCTATTGGGAGCTGAAGTCGAAGAAGTGGACTCCTCCATCTTCATGGGTTCCATGGCTTGAGTCTCCTTTTCGGGCACTACAGCAGGGACCTCGACTTCGGGAATCTTCTCCGAGTTCTCCCCCTCCGGCTTCTTGATATCTTCAATTGTGGTCTCCGTTTCGGGAAGGACAGTAGCCGGAGTCTCCTCCTCGTCATCGTCATCGCCGATTACTTCCTCAATGGCCTGTTGGATGAAGTGCTCGAACTGCTGGAAGTACTGCAGTGCATTGTTGGCCACCTGGGCGGTGGGCAAATCGGTGGTCACCTTCTTCAGGGCATCCCGAATAAGCACGAGCACGGGTTTTCGTGTTGGAGCTGTTCCAGTAGTAGCGTCCACCTTCTGATCTTCGGTGGGAGTTTCGGTGGCAGTCTCCTCCGATGGTTCCTCAGTGGCTTCCGCCTCGCGGCGTCTTCGGATCAAAGACTCATCATCGTCATCTTCGGCGTCGTCGTCCTCGTCATCATCATCTTCTTTGGATTCGTCTGCTACCTTTTGTACCTCATCCTCCTCTTCATCGTCATCCTCACTCGTATCGGCACTTGAGTTTTGGATCTCAGGATCCTGCTTAGATACTGGCAGATCGTGGATGATCTCTTTCTCGGATTCCCCCAGTGGAGCTGCACTTACAGAGCAGGTCAAAACGAAGAGAGCAACTGCTTTTAAAGATGGAAAGATTAGGTTTAAGTTTAGGTTAAGACCTAGAGATTAAGTCAGCTCACCGAGGGCCAGGTAGATGGGTCTAACCATTGTGGTAATCCTTTGCTTCCAGCTGGCTTCGTAGTGGACTTTTGCAGTTTTGCGGTCTTTATGAGCGAATCCAGCGCTCTGCTTTCGCTTTTTATAGCCCCTCCAAAAAAATGAAAGTAAATGCGAGCAAACAAGGCGATCCCAAAACGCTCCGCTCTCAGCGAGATCTTGGCCCAATCTCTGGTGTGGACTAAACAGAGCGTTGTCCATCGGCTTTTACTGCACCCAAGCTCTCTTTCATGGATGGGTTTTGGGTTTCTTTCCTCCCACCTCGGCCCATCTCATTTGGTTTCTTTCTTTTTGGCTTGAAACTCTTTTGTTTACACGATCGATGGCTTTACCAAAAGCACCGAAAAGAAACTGAAATCATTTATTTAAATTTGTTTCAGTCTTTTCGGTTTTCTGGTGACTTCTTTCATAAATCTGTTGATTTGTCTTCACAGACAGTCTCGGTTGGCTTTGTGTTTGTCTAACAGATTAGCGCCATTTGGCTAGCCAAGAGTAAGTCTTCAGCTGATATGCAAAACTGTTTACAAGATCTCAGAGTGGTCTACCATTTCTTGGGATTCGGTCAAAGCCCTAATTATGTAATTAGACACGCTTTGGCATCGGCATGGGTATCGATTTGATCGCCCCCACCAAACAGCCGGCGGCAGTGCATCACAGATTGGTTAACTTTCTAATGCTAATGGGAAATTTGAAAACTTTTCCATGGAACTACATTTCAAAATCAACAAGAAGTGATCACGAGCTGAATGAGTCATCAAACTGATGGTGGTAATAATAAATGCAATTATGGATGGCTCTTTTGGTTGATCAATAGATAATCAGGGATAATCATAAGAGAGAGCTTTGATAATGGTTTTCCATATATCTTCCAAGATATAGCAATATATCAGTTTAGAATATATTACAACCTATCGATTTGTAAGCTGATCACTCTTCTCAAGCTCGCTCTAATTACGATCACAATTACTAACGTTGAAGATGATCTCTTACACAGATCAAAGATCAACAGAGATCAACGGCAGAATAACAGAATAACAACGCTTGATTGGATGTGATGGTTTCCTGTGAGCGAGTGCAGCTGCCGGCGATCGCGGTCAGAAGAACCTCGTAAAATAACAACCAGATCACCGAACCTTTCCAGATTGACCCAATTTCAGAGAACCGGCTGGAGAAGCGTCGAAGAAGTCAAGCTTGGGAGGCTGGGCGTCGAATGGAGGGCATCGAAGGTGTTAAAAACACACACACCAACCAGTTCCAGATCTGAGACATTCTAGATGGCTATCGCTGGAAAGGGTACGGCCACATGAGTTTGCATAAAATTTCACCAAATAAGATATATGTAGTACCAAAAAAAATAAAAACTTGACGTACTTTCGTTCGGAACTCGAGACGACGCGAAGTGTAAACAAAACTCTGAGAAGATGTGGACGTTGGAAGAGCTGCAGTGCGAGGAAAAACCGGTAAGCGTTTTAAGAATTCCCCGGCGAGTGGCTAAGACTGGTACTTAAGCAACGGTCGCCAGAAGATGCGATCAGTTGTTGTGGAGACGAGCAGCTGACCAGATCAATATGAGGCCATATCAAATAGCTTGTATCGTGGGTAAGTCTCTGATATCCAACCTGACCAGTTCTGGTCAATATCCCATAATTAACCACCGGATCTCCCATTTCATTTTGTATCTAGCAGTGGCAGCTTTGCTGCTTTTAGAGGCGACACCAGCGGATGCAAAACGCCGCAAGCACAAGGGTTCCGATCACCATCACGATGGTCATGATCCCCAAAAGACCAAGACGAAGACCAAGTGGTCTACTTCTACGGATCTGGGAGGTAGCACGCAAGTTTCCACCGAGGAGCATGGCTACTATGTGAAGCGCACCTTTGCAGCGGCCGGTGAAAATGGAGCGGGACAGAAGCGTTTGAGTCCACCCTATCTGGCCATACCCATCGCCTGGTTTAGCTGTGAGTCTGGACAAAAGGATTGCCAGACATCCAATTCGGCGGCTATCAACAGTGCTGCCCAGTCCTTGAGCGAAGGATATTTGTGCGACGATGATTGCACTGATCTCTACGATCCCATCTGTGGCAAGACTTCCTCGGAGGTGGCCGTCTTCTATAGCAGGTGCAAGCTGGATGTGGCCAAGTGCCGATCGCATGGCATTTGGTCTGATTACTCCTATTCCGAGTGCAAGGAGAAATATCCCAAGGAGACTGCCTATGCCGACAAGAAGTTCCGATCGTCACCTTACTTCCGGGATGCGGCTCTGGTCGAGCAACTGAAGCTGGAGGAGGAGAAACGAAAGCACGAGGAGGAAATACATAAGCTGGAGAAGGAGCAGAAGAAGAAGGAAAAGGCGGAGAAAAAGCAAAAGGAAAAGGACAGCAGCGAAAGCAGTGAGGAGAAGCAGAACCAAAAGGAGAAGGACGAGGAGGAGCCTCTGACTTTAAATCTTCAAAAACCAGTAGAGGCACCCCAGGTCCCAGTGCCAGTTGCTGTCCAAGCCGCCATTCCTAAACCAGTTCCAGTCGTAGAGCCTGCGAAGGCAAGCGAGGACATCGCTTTGCCACCCATGCCCTTGAAGGACACCACCAGCCCTAAGCCACTAGAGATCGCTCCCCTGAAGGAACAGACCCAGCCCAAGAGCATGGACAGTAGGCTTAAGTATAATGTAGCTTACGCTAAAAATATCTAATTTAATACAAAATATTTATTTAATTTATTACAATAAAAAACAAAGGATTTACAAAATTAAAAACTTTTTACGTTGCTTTTCGCCGTGATTTTTAAGATGTTCGTTGTTTAAGGTCCATGGGGAAACCAGTCAGCTCTCCCTCCAACCTTCAAAAGTTGTCGAAAAAAAGTATTTTATTCAAAATTGTTTTTAACGAGCTTGAAAGTTACTTTTGGCAAGATCAATTCTAAGCTTGATCTCAGCAATACCTATTAGGTTTGGAATTATTATGTAAATTTTATAATTTCAGGCAGGTTAATTTTCTAAAATGAAGTCTTAGATCTGCTGCAGGGAAGCAGATGAAAGGCAATATATATATATGAACCCTATGAAGTCAGAATGTATCCCCTAATTTAAGTCATTTAAAATTAAGTTAATATAACAAAAAAAAATATTAAATCATAACATTTATCTGGATTACCTCCGGCTTTTCATACGGAAGAGGTATGCGCATTCTCCTTTCAATTGCCTTATCATGAATGTAATCCACATTCCACTGGTATTCAGTCATGGCGTCCTGAAACTACAGTCCTTTATTAAACCTTCCTGCTGGAATCCTGCTTAAGGATATCCACTTACAGCAAACAAGACGAACAGCAGGCAGATTAAGAACCTTCTCACCATTTTGAGTTCAATATTTAATCAGAGGTTGGTGGTCTGAATTGAAGGAAGATGATTTTACAACTGATCGAATGTCTTCATTATAATTATTAAAAAGACTCTGTTTTGCGCAGCAGCCCGTTTATGGCTTATCAAAAGCAATTCCGATAGGTTAAGGAACCAATATATTAAGATAACACTTATATGTATAATGTGATTAAAGTTGATTCTGATCATAAAGTCGGAGTAATGTTTAAGTAATATTAAAAGAGTTTTTATAGATTGCAGAGGCTATCAGCAGTCCAAAGATCAGAGAGAACTTCATATATTTTTAAATAATAATTACTTTTGTAAAGACATTTAGTTGAATTGGAGAGCAAACTACACTTCCTTTTTATCGCAGGTGTTATTTTAAACAAAACAATGGTTTCCATTAGCAAATACACTAAAAACCTTTTTCTTCTAAAAGGCATAACAACTCGTAGTTACTCTAAATTTTTATATTTCTTCCAATCAGACCCTATAAACAATTTCCTTTGAGATAAGCTCTTCACTTTATAATTCAATTGAGAGGAATTCTGAGATGATGCAGTTTCTTTCAAGAGCATTGACCCTCGAAACGAGTTCTATAAACTGATTGATATCAAAAGTTTGAAAGGGCCGTCATCCAAAGTCGGGCAGTAAACCTAAAAACTAATTGGGCGTGGGATGCATTGTGGTCACTGCAGCAGGTTGCACTGGAGTTGCCTATAAAAGCAGCGGGATTTGTGTCACATATCACAGAAGTTGGCCAACTGCAATGGGAGCTAGAAGTGTTGAATTTGGGATCTGGAAGATTCAGCTACTGCTCCTGTTAAGTGGATGTAAGATATCTGAAAAAAACATTTTTTTATATTAATAAACCCTTTTTTAGTTATACTCACTTGTAGAGCTGCTCCGGTGGAGGTAGCTGAAGGTGTGACCCATCCACCGCCCGATCAGCTGCAAACAGAGTCTCGATCCCGCAAAGACGATATCCTAGATGTGGATGACGACCTGGATGCTCGTAATGCCTATATTAACAATCAGTTTGTGCCTAGTGAACCAGCTGAAGTTCTAGAGGATGAACACAATACTCCGCTCTATGAGATCCTCCAGAAGCAGATGGAACAAGTGCTGGCCGCATCAGCTCCCACTGATCCAGTCTATGAGCAACGAGAAAAACTGGAACGTCGTGACCAACAGCCACCACACCAACCGCCGTACTTCTCCGGCGGAGACCGAGATGCTGATCTTCAGGATGACTATGAGGACGAAGAGGATCAGACAGATCAGGGCTATCCGTTGGATCCTGAGAAACCAGATGCAATGTCTGGTTCTCCCGAAGAAGTTGACCAAAACGAGGCAGGCTACCAGGGATCACAGTTGAGCTTCCCAAGCAGCACTAGCAGCACTCGGCGACCGATCAGGCGACGCACCACCTCACATCCGCGAACTACTAGGACAAGATCAACTGCGCAGCCGAAGATCACAGCCAGACCTTTAAATCAAACCAGCACTACTGAGCCACCAACGCCCGTGACCACCACCACAAATCGTCCTAAGATTGGCTCTAGTACCAATTCCAAGCCAAATCCATTTCAGGGAAACAATTTGATTAGTGATCCGCAGGTCTACCAGCACAAGCGCCGCATCATATTCAAAACCATTTCGACAGGCTCCCAGTTCATCAACTCACCCATTGGCGATCTAATGATAAAGTTCTCTATTGGCTTTGCCAAACCAAACAGTCCGGTTGCAGCCAGCAGTCCCTCCACTTTACCCAGTTTACCCAGCTCCTCTAGCGAGGCATTGCGTGCCCTCTCCCAAAACTTGATTCGTAATCTAGAACTGCAGAAGCTAAAAAGATCGAATAAAATTCAGAAAGATTAAAAATATCTTGATAATTTTATAAAAACAATAACAATATTTCAATTAGAGAATGTATTATTAATCAAATATCAGTTAAATTTTCAATATTCCAATTAATAAGAAAAGAAACTCAAAAGAAGAGTCAAGTCGACGACCCAAATAATTACCATAAGCCAAACAGGGCGAGGTTTGCTAAAAATATTCCATCGGGAATCATGCATTGTTCTCGGAATTATAGAAAACAACTTGCGATGACGCAATGGGAGTATACATATATACACGATCAGATTTCTTCGGTCACGTACAGGAATTTAAAGATAAACAAAAATATTGTTCATATATAAGGTTAGTTTAATCGAGATTTTAAATACGTAATCTAGGTGGACAGTCGCGGTGCTACTAAGCAGTATCAACAAAGTCTTAATTCCTTTAGGAACATGGTAGCTACCTTAGTGTAATATATGAACTAGCTGCCTTGGCAATCCGCTGCCTTTGCCTTAATCGTTGTTTCTATCGAGTCTCTTTTAGTCGGTTAGTTCGCTTGGCGATCTGGAAGCTTTACAAAAATAGATATGGAGAGCATTCACTGGCCTTGATTATGATAAACATTGGATTTGATCTTCTCAGGCACAACATTTTCGAATCGGGCTAGTGAGTACAGATAGTGAATTGCACTTAAAACTAATGTAAAACAAACAATAACATCAGCGTACGGGCCAGAATCTCTGTGCCAAGACGGGAATGGTGACGCCGGTAATGATACTGGAAATGAGGTTGACACTGTGGTTGTCCAGAATACGTAGTCCGCTTACATGACGTACACCCTTGCCGGGCGCTTCCACAATTTTTCCCTCCGCATTGATGCCCGAGAATTGCAGCAGTCCACCCAATACGGAGTCGAGCAGAGAGCCAAAAAGTCCAGCAATGCCGCCAAAAGCGACAATTGGCCATTGTGGTGGACTAACCAATAGCATTTTGGCCTCCACTGTGTAGCGTACGGTGACAAAGTATCCAAATCCAACGAGCAGTCCGCCCAGCAGACTGACAGCAATCCCGGCTAGCGAAACGCCACCGTTTGTGCCGCGCGGCACTCGACGCCAAGTGATAATGGACACTGGATCACGTTGCGACAATACTGAGCCCAGTTCACTGGACCAGGTGTCGCCGTTGCAGCATGCAAAGGCACTCATAACAGCAACGCCCAACCAGCTTGATCGGTACTCTCGGGAAAAGTCTATCGATCGCTCTCCACTGCCGCAATCCAAGAGATAAAGAAGCGCCAGCTGGGCGGCCATGCCTCCATTGCACAGCACCTGGACCCAGTTCCGCTGGCCTTCGCCCTCTCGGAAATCGCTCTCAAAACGCCGTTTCATGTGCGCCCGGAACTTGGTGGCTCGTGAGGAGCTAAAGAAGAACACTACCAGACTGGCGAAGAACGGATGGCTGGCAATGGAGAGGATGAAGGCAACCAGGATACCCAATGCAGCTCCAGATCGATTGACGCTCCTCCTTCGCAGTGCCACCGTCATTAAGGCCAAAGGTGCCAGTGTGGAGAATAGCCAACGTACCGGCGGAATCACCCGAGACTCTGTTGGATAACCTTCTCACATTATTTGACCCCGCTATTCGTATGGGAATCCATTATAGGGATTCCACCGCTTACCCTCAAAGTCGCTACTCCAGATCTTCGATATCGCCACGTTTCCCAACCACATGAAGAGGGAGAGCGGCACGGATAGTCCGCAGAAGAGTACCGGCATCCAATCGCGCATATTGACGTCTGAAATATACGGATTTCACGGGCGTTGTTTATCGCCACTTTCTCTAAATTTTGTTTATTTTTTGAGCTAGTAAGACCGTTTCTAATAAAGTTAAATAAACCAATATTATGTCCAACTGGAAGGAATCCACAGACACAAACCCAGCCGCTATTGTATTTCACCACCATTTTTCAAAATACATTAGTTTGAGATGCACTGGAAATATTTTAATTAATTTAATATTTTTATTTTTTCTGAGACTCACTAACTTTCTTATAAATAGTATACTATCACATTGAAATAACATTAAAAATCGAAATGATTAGACAGATTCAAGGCTCTAAAGCTTAAAAATATTTTTTTTGCATTTTAGTGAGTGATGAATTCATTTGTTTTTCTTATTCATAAATGCATAAGCGATGAGTTATTACTTTTTCATTATTTTCTGACATTCTGTATGTGGAATTTAATTTATTTAATGTTTGTGAGTTTAAAAAATATGTACATATATACAATATAACTAATTTAACAGTTATACTAACTATATACTAACAATATCTAACAACCAATTCACGTCTGAATTAAGATCCTATATATTATCTTGATATGCCCCGTAGAATCACTTTCCAAAAGGTGGTAATGGAATCCCTAGTTAAAACATCGATCTTTGGTTAATTTTCGAAAAATTTTAAATAGAGAAATATCAAAATGAGTGGGCGAAAAATAAATAATGAAAATATCAAATTGAATTTTCGTCGTTCAGAAATTGTATTAACGTTCTTTTAGTTTTTAAAGCTCTGCTGTAATCCTTAAAAGAGTTCCTCACATATTAAGTACCTATTACTCTGCAAAACTAAAAAAATACCTAAACAATTAAGGTCTTAAATTGTTCTTTATCCAATCGTAAAATACTCCTGTTTTTGTGTAGACAGATGGAGCCGTTCCGCAGTCACCATATCCATGGGATGTGATGCCTGCGGCATACACATATTCTTTGTCGCCTCTTCCCCTGGTATCCATCAAAGGACCACCGGAATCGCCAACGCATGTATCCTCGCCTTTCTGGCCACCGGCACATATTTCGGTCTGGGGTAGGAAACCACTTTTACCCCAACAATAACGTATATCTTCTTTAATGTCGGCAAGCAGCAATACTTGGGTTTTTTCTTTGTTTTCTTTTTGACCCCAACCGGCTATTTGCAAGATCCTGTTTGCGAGGGATATGTGATTTTCCAGAATACAGATCGGCTTAATTACATCAGTAAAACTGAAGGATAGCAAAGAAATCATTCATTTCTTGTTGATAATGTTTTGGAGTTTTATTACTCACGTTACTGGAGATATGACTCGAACCAGGCCAATGTCGTTCTCATAAGAAGTAGTGTTTTTGTACGCTTCGTGCATAATAACTTTGTCCACTTCGATATCCACATGTTGGGGCGAGCACAACTGCTTTCCATTACGAAGTGTGACGCAATCAATCTTAGTGGATAGGTCATGCTCGCCCAGTCGTACACTTCTCAGGTCGAAGTCCGAATATGTTGCATTGTCAATACAGTGAGCAGCAGTCAGAATGTAGCGAGTAGTTATTAGGGAACCAGCACACTTTGGTACAAGTCCCTGTCTGGGAGATGATCGTATATTATATAACAGCAACGCCATCCAGGGAAATTCGTTAGGATCAGATTCATTTCCACGTGCAATACGATAACCTGGTGGCTTTTGACCGCATATTTGTTTAGATGGCAACACGTGGCCATTTCCCGGTATGGGGCAGCAGGTGTATTGCCTCTTATTTATCGATTTTTTCCTCATATCAAGAGCGCATGTGTTTTTATTTATTTTATCCTTTGTCTGCTGGGAAATCGGTGAGGGGAGTGACTTAAGACATATATCTCGTCTTAGGCAATTCTCATCGGGTCCACAAACATGAGGAGTGTAATTTTTCAAATCTGGGCAGCAGATGTGTTGGTTTCCACATATTCTGGACTTAATCTTTTCAATTCCCGATATGTGTTTCATCTCGGGGCACAGATTCTTTTTGATACATTTCTCATTGCTTTGACAAACTGGAAATGTTGTAGGACAGCAAACATACTTTGTGCCGAAAGCCCCATGAAAGCATATTGTGTAATTTGAAATTTTATTCCGATTCGAATAAATGCGTTCAGTTATTTTGTCGCATTTTTTTTGCTTAATGCATCTCTCATTCGGTCCACAGATTTCTGATTTTGTAAGAACAAAAAAATTAATTAATAGATATTTAACTTTAAAATTGACTTCCCTGTTGCTGAATTTGAGTTCAACATGTTAAAAAACAGAGCGGATGTTTCCTTTTTTTTTATATTACAAGCCTTGCTCATAAATTCACTTAATGTTGATATGCTCCTTCAGACATACAATTTACAAAAATTGAATAATAAAGTGTTTAATGATTATCACTTATTCTAACGCTAGTTACCATTCCAAGCAAAAAGTCCCAGAAAGAGACTCTGTAGTAAGAGCACAATAAACAACTTACTTTGGAGGAGCATTGTGCTCCATCCAAGTTTTCAATTCAAACTGAAGCTCAAATTAGTAAATACAGATATCTTTCGGGTTTTTTTTTAAGACAGATCCATTTCCTGGAAATCCAATTATTCAAGGGAAAAACATTTTTATTATTGTTTGATCATATATGTATCATATACATACATATACGTACGTAATGCTCGCTTATGTAGATAAAAAATTCAAACAATTTTTGAAGTTTTTTTTTAGGATTTAATTAATTTAATTTTCGTTATGGTTATTTATAGAGGAGTTCTTAGTAACCCAGTCAGTGGTAATACGTCATTGATGTAACTTGCATTTCTTAGTAATTTTATAAATAATTGTCAATACTAAATAATAATATTTTCATTTAAATAAAAATAAATTGTATTGCGTAGTTAAAATATGGAAAATGGTTTGAAGTAAGGGAAGTAATCTTTTAAATTTATCATATTTTCAGGACCATTAATGAAATAATCTTAAATCACAAGCTAGACATACATATTTACATGTATATCCATTTAATAAGTTTAACATATGTACATACATATATTATAATAATATAAAGACGCTTACTTAGCTATAAGGAGTAAATGCCCTCTAGTCGGCGCACACGTTCATCGATCAGGGCCAACAGCTTGTTGATCTCTTCTAGCCGCTCAGAACAGGAGCAGGCCCCTGATCCAGATTCGAAGGACACGTCCACAACCTGCGAAAGGTTCGTCTGGTTATGTGAGTTTAAAGGTTTACCAGCTGTGGCAAACTTGTCCCTATCCTAACCAAAGGCCACCGCATTCGCCGCCACCGTATGAAACCGTAATTTTTGCTATTGTATTATATTTCAGCACCACAAGTTTGAAATGCACTGGACTACATATTTTAAATATTTCTGAGACACACATTATGTATAACAGATGTCACGTTAAAATAACATTAAAAATCGGAATGAGTAGGCAGACTCAAGGCTCTTAAGCTTTAAAATAGTTTTTTTTGCATTCAAGTGAATTATGACTTCATTTGTTTTTCTTATTCATAAATGCATAAGCGTTGAGTTATTACTTTTTCATGTCCTTTTAGCTTTGTTTTATGAATATGCTCAATTGCTTTTATTTTGTATATTCAATTAAAAATTTATTTAATTTTTGTAAAACCAAAAAATATATATTTACAAAATAACTGCTAATTTATTTATTAATAATATCCATCACTATTAGCCATTCCACTTCTGAAGTAAGATCCTGTATATTACATTGATATGCCCCATAATATCATTTCCTAAAATAAGATAATGGAATAATAGAATAGATTTGAAATATATAAATATAATTAAAAATAAATAATGTGAATATCAAATTGAATTTTCGTCCTGCAGATAATACATACGTTTTGTTTTTGGTTTTGAAAGCTCTACTTTAATCCTTAAAAGAGTTCTGTAAATATTATGTACTTTAAAAAGTAATAAAATATTACAAACAAATTTAAGGCCTTAAATGTTGCTTTATCCATTTGTAAAATACTCCCGTTTTTGTGTAGATAGCTGGAACCTCTCCGCATTTATAGTTTTCATATCCATGGGATGTAATACCTGCGGCATATACAACTTCTTCTTCTCCTCTTCCTATGGTGGCCATCAAAGGACCACCGGAATCGCCAACGCATGTATCCTCGCCATTCTGGCCGCCGGCACATATTTCGGTCTGGGGTAGGAAATCAGGTTTACCCCAACAGTAATATCTTTCTTCTTTAATGTAGGCACGCAGCAATACTTCGGTTTTTTCTTGGTTTTCTTTTCGACCCCAACCGGCTATTTGCAAGATGCTGTTTGCGAGGGATATGTGATTTTCCAAAATACAGATCGGTTTGATTACATCAGTATAACTGTAGGATAGGAAAGAAATCATTCATTTCTTGTGGATAATGTTTTAGTGTTTTATTACTCACGTTACTGGAGATATGACTCGAACCAGGCCAATGTCGTTCTCATAAGAAGTAGTGTTTTTGTAAGCTTCGTGCAATATAACCTTTTCCACTTCAATATCCACATGTGGGGGCGAACACAACTGCTTTCCATTACGAAGTGTAACGCAATCAATCTTAGTGGATAGGTCATGCTCGCCCAGTCGTACACTTCTCAGGTCGAAGTCCGAATATGTTGCATTGTCAATACAGTGAGCAGCAGTCAGAATGTAGCGAGTAGTTATTAGGGAACCAGCACACTTTGGTACTAGTTCTTGTCTGGGAGATAATCGTATCTTATATAACAGCAACGCCATCCAGGGAAATTCGTTAGGAGCAGATTCATTTCCACCTGCAATACGATAACCTGGTGGCTTTTGACCGCATATTTTGTTAGTTGGCAACACGTGGCCATTTCCCGGCTTGGGGCAGCAGGTATATTGCCTTTTATTTATCAAACTTTTTCTCATATCAAGAGCGCATGTGTTTTTATTTATTTTATCCTTTGTCTGCTGGGAAAGCGGTGAGGGGAGTGTCTCAAAACATATATCACGTCTTAGACAATTCTCATCGGGTCCACAAACATGAGCAGTGTAATTTTTCAAATCTGGACAGCAGATGTATTGATTTCCACATATTCTGGACTTAATGTTTTCAATTTTCGATATGTGTTTCATCTCAGGGCACAGATTCTTTTTGATACATTTTTCACCGCGTTGACAAACTGGAAATTTTGTAGGACAGCAGACATACTTTATGCCGAAAGCCCCATGAAAGCATATTTTGTAATTTGAAATTTCATTCCAATTCGATCGAATGAGTTTATTTTTGCTGCCGCAATTTTCCTGCCTAATGCATCTCTCATTCGGTCCACAGATTCCTGATTTTGTAAGAACAAAAAATTAATAAATAGTTAGCTTTAACTGTTACAACATGTTAAAAAAGAGAGCGGGTGTTTTTTCTACCCGTTACTGGTAGAGTAAGGGTATATTAGATTCGTTAAAAAGTATGTAAAAGGTAGAAGGAAGCGTTTCCGACCCTTTAAAGTATACGTATGTATGTATATATTCTTGATCAGGATCAATAGCGAAGTCGATTGAACCATGTCCGTCTGTGCGTATGAACGCTGAGATCTCAGGAACTATGAGAGTCGCAAAGTCGATTAAGCATAAAGATTCTTGTTTAATTGATCCAGTTTATTTCAGCATCCTGCCACGCCCACTCTAACGCGTACTAATCACGGAAAACTTTGACGTCCATAATATTATAATATAATGAATGTTTTTATTACAATACCTTTTATAACAATATCAATATATCAATATCTATCGATTAACCAAAAATTTTTTAAATCGAAACATTATTTCGCTATTTATGAAGAAATGTAGGTTATAAGGTGGCACAAAAGCCGGCTCTTTGACATTTTCCACTAGCAAAATTAATATTTTAAAATTTTTCTCATAGCTTGACAACGCACATATATAACATGTGCATATGGATCTCTCTCGCGCTCTCGCCTTATGTGTGAGGATCAGTGCTGCCAACTTTTGACCAGCAAAAAAAGCTGTTTTGGCGGGAAGATAGGAGAAAATAAGCTAAAAAAAAAAAGTATTTTAAAAGTCCACAAAAAACATAAGGTAGGCCAATTGGTGATGACCAAAAAAAAATTTAAAAATGTAGAATAGAAATCTTACGGAACACCAATATTCTTATACATAGACGCTGCTGCCGCTCTGCTCTGCAATAAATTATAGTCAAACACGACGTTTTGCCACAGGAATAATTACATGGCGACTATGACAGTCCTGTTGTGGTCGTCAGACAATATGGCCCTAGTAAGGCCGCCCTACATTATTACACAGTAACACTTGTCTTATATTCGCGGCTCTCGACTATAGCGTTTCTTCTCGTTTTATATTACAAGCCCTGCTCATAAACTCATTTTACGTTGATATGCCCTCTCAAACGTAAAATTTTAAAAACGGAACAATAAAATGTGTTTAATTAGTATCACTTATTCTAACGCTTTTTACCATTCACAACCAAAAGTCGCAAACAGAGAGTTTGTAAGAGCACAATAAACAATTTCTTTTGGGGGAGCATTGTGCTCTGTCGAAGATTTGAACCGCAACTAAAAGCAAAATTAATAAATATATGTAGATATCATTCTATTTTTTTTTAATCGTGAGAATAATTTCCAGGAAATTAATCATTCGGCATTCGGCTAATATGATAAGGTGTGACAGTATTTTGAAAATTTGGCAAGAGTTCACAGCTGCCCACCGAGAGGCATATGGGTTTTTATACCCGTTACTCGTAGAGTAAAAGGGTATACTAGATTTGTTGAAAAGTGTGTAACAGATAGAAGGAAGCTTTTCCGACCCTATAAAGTATATATATTCTTGATCAGGATCAATAGCGAAGTCGATTGAGCCATGTCCGTCTGTCCGTCCGTATGAACACTGAGATCTCAGGAACTATAGCAGACACAAAGTTGAGATTAAGCATGAAGATTCTTGATGTTCCGGGACAGCGCAAGATTATTTCAGCATCCTGCCACGCCCACTCTAACGCCAAAACCCGAAAAACCAAAAATGCAAAAATCTCGTGAACTAAAATAGCTAGAATGTTAGGCTTAAGAATACGTACATATTTAAGGGTTGCTACTGCAACTTCCCACGAGTTTTCATCCGGTCACGCCCAGTCTTACGCCCACAAACCGCGGAAAACTGTGGCGTCTATAATAATTTTATGAATGCCTTCGCTTGACCTTGTATAACTTATTTCTGTTAATATCTATCGAAAGTTATAATGCCTCCATGACTTGTGACGTCACTATCATTTACTCAACATGCTTTCTCCAACAATAGGTAATTTCCACAAGCAAAATGAATATTTTAAAATTGCGTAAAACAGTAACGGGTATCTTATAGTCGCGGCACTCGACTATAGCGTTTCCTCTTGTTTATTTTTATTTTTTCATTCATGTATGTTCGCTTATATAATCTATGCACGTATATACATAGATATACACTCGAAGAATTTTGGAAGTATTTTTATGAATTAATTTACTTAATTTTGTTATGGTTTTTTATGAACATGAATAACCCCGTCAGTGATAATACTTCACTGACATAACTTTAATTTCTTAGTAATGTACATTTATATGTACATATGTATATATGTATATGTATGTACATATGTACATATGATGTAAGCAAAGTAATATTTTAAATTTATTCTATTTCCCAGAACATTTTGAAGAAATAATAGTAAATCACAAGCTACATACATATACATACATACAGTGGATCCAAGCTTATTTCGTGCAAGAAAAATTCAAATTTTTAATTTGATACTGTTTTTACTAATTTAAAAAACAAAAGAATTTTTCATACAAAAACTAAAAAATAGGGCAACTCCGACGCACAAGCTTGTTTCGTGCAATCACTTTAACGGTTAATAACTCTAAACTAGGACTTTTTAATCCATTTTTTTTTCTTAATACAAGTAAAAATATATTAACAAAAGCATATTTATAAGTTTTCGAGGCTGGGGGCACCCAAAAATTACGGATTAACGAGGATTTTCAAACCTATTGCGCCACGAATAATAGTCAATAGTTATTGAGGAAAGCGAATTAGTCCTTAAACATTTTATGGATTGGAAAACCCAGGAAATGGTTGCCTCAAGCCCTAGTTCAAACCCATACATAACCCAAACACTTTTTTGCGAAAATCGGGTGGCAGAAAGGGGCGGTAATGCACCGAACAAAATTTTTAATGACCAGGAGGAGAGACGTATTGTCCGAAAAGTGAAGGAAAACCCCAAGCTTTGCACCAAATTTTCTTTCAAAATAGTTGAATATTTATTGGCATCCATGATTCCGTCAATAAAAACCAAATTTCGGAAGCCGGACAGAGTCATACATGCCCAAACTACTTAATTTTGTTATAGTTATTTATGAACATGAATAACCCCGTCAGTGATAATACTTCACTGACATAACTTTAATTTCTTAGTAATGTACATTTATATGTACATATGTATATATGTATATGTATGTACATATGTACATATGATGTAAGCAAAGTAATATTTTAAATTTATTCTATTTCCCAGAAATAGATTTTTAAGAAATAATAGTAAATCACAAGCTACATACATATACATACATACATATGTATGTACTCTTTTCGGACTAATTAGACCCTTAAGAGTGGAGTAAGCGTATCAATAAATAACTTACATGTCGGATTAAAATATCGCTCGTCGTAATATATGCTCCAAATGATGTCATTTGAAAAAAGCTTTTATATTTTTGAGTGTTTGCAAGAAAGTGACGTGATTTTGTTTTTTCGCCACAAAGCAATGACCTTGTTAGCTTGTCTCTTTTCTTGGCGTTGTTCATTCGTTCGAATTAATCGTATACTCCGTTTTTACCACTTTCGCCAGATGCTCACTTGCAGGTGCTCATTTGTTTTTGGAAATGCTATAAGACGATTTTAGCACCCCTCAGTACACGACTCATTTTTTATCTGCGCAGCAAGTCGTGATGACGTTAAGTCTGTGCAGAAACTCTTTCAAGACTGATTCTTAGTTTGCAATCTGTCCTTTAATCGTTCTCTCTGCCTTTTTACTCGTCAGTGACGAGTGCTGAGTCTTCACGTCTCACTCAGTAAAGCTTTTTTTCTATTTCCGACATATGTTTGTATGTATGTATGGATAACTAAATTAATACTGCCTGGTTTTTATTTTGTAGAAATAAGAAATGATTTTCATCGAATTAGATTTTTAATTGCATTTAAGGCGGAACAGAGTTCGCATGGTTAGCTAGTAATAATATAAATACGCTTAGTTAGCTATAAGGAGTAAATGCCCTCTAGTCGGCGCACACGTTCATCAATCAGGGCCAACAGCTTGTTGATCTCTTCTAGCCGCTCAGAACAGGAGCAGGCCTCTGAGCCAGATTCGAAGGACACGTCCACAACCTGCGGAAGGTTCGTCTGGTTATGTGAGCTCAAAGGCTATTGAACATTTTGGTTAGAAAGGCTGGTTTGGGCTGCGCGTTTTGGAGTCTGGTTTGAGCCTTTACTGTCGAGCACCTGGAAGTTCTCCTCCGACAGCTGATAGGCCACGGACTGACGGGGATCGATTCGAATACTGCGGTCGTTGGATTCTGAGTGGTCACTGCCTAAGCTGACGCTCGACGTGCCGGCACTGGTGTCACCACCAGAGGAGGCTAAGGCAGCTCTAGCATCGAACTGGGAGGCGTCGTATGTGTGCAAGTTCGACTGCCAGACCATAAGCTGCCAATTAAAATGGATATAAAGTATTATTGACATTTATATACCTAAAAGAAGCCCAATCTCACCTGACGATCATTACCAGCTGTGGCAAACTTGTCCCCATCCTGACTAAAGGCCACCGCATTCACCGCCGCCGTGTGACCTGTTAATGTGTAGATGGGTCTACCCTCCAGAAGATCCATGATGCGGATGGTAAAGTCGTCGCTGCCGGAGAGCAGGAAATGCCCACTTGGATGGAAGGCTACATCATTGACTGGGGCCGAGTGAACCACATACAATTGCAGCAGCTGGCTACCGCCTACGTCGAAAATTTTTATGCGGTTGCAGCCGAGGGCGACGGCTATCATTTTGCCCAAGGGATGCCAAGCCAGTTGCCTTGGAGCCGCTCGTTCCTCGGGGAAAGTGCGAACGCATTCACCACTATCGACATCGTAGATTCTCAGCGATTTGTCATCACTAACAGTGGCCACCAGTTGGCCATTGGGACTGAATTTGGCACTGCGCACCCAGTTGTTTTGATGGGCAAAGGAGGTTATAAACTGCCTCCTGGCCACGCGCCACATCTTGGCCGACTTGTCATCGGATGCGGTCAGCAATAGTTGACCGGTGGCATCGAAGTCCACACTGCGTACCTTCTTGCTATGAGCCACAAACTCTCCAGAAGCGCCGCGCAACTTAGGCTCCCAGATCTTAACGGTGCGATCGTAGCCGCCGGAGGCAACCAGATTGCCATTGGGCGACCAGGCCACTCCGCTTACGGCCGCCGAATGTGATGCAAATCGAATGCATCGCGCCGCTTGGTTCAAATTCCACAGGATCACAGAAGAGTCCATCGAGGAGGTGGCGATTTGGGTGCCATCTGGACTGAAGCGCAGCTGCGTTATCCCACCGTGGTGGCCCGTAAAGTGTCGCTCCAATGCCGGATCACTGAACAACGCCTGCATCTCCTTATTCATTTAAAAGAATTTTCTTTAAAAATTTACAAAATTTTCTATCAAACTGGATTGCCTTGCCGCTTGGGTTTGAAATTGAGATAATTGTGTCGCCAAGCCAACCCTAAAGTGTGACCAGACTTGAAATTAATAATATACATATAAAGGTTAAAAATATACTAAACTGAAAAGTTTTAAGGCGCCATCTTTTGCTGGGAGTAAAATTAACTGGTTTAAAGAATTTTTATAGCAACATTATCTACATTTCGGGTAGTTATTGTAAATATGTAAATAAAAAACTAAATAAAATTTTTTTTTGTGTTATATTTTGAATATCAATCAATTCTTTATTAATAAATTTTGTTTCCATAGAAATTTTAAATACTAAATAAAAGATATACTATTTAATTTTCCTATTTTGCTATTTTTAATGGTTTAGGTTTAGAATTTAATTTATTTTGCTATCAGAAAAGCAAATTTCTTGATTTTTGGATAGATTTTAGCAGCATTAGAAAGATTGTAATCAAATCTGTGATGACAAGAATACCAAAAGATTTGTACAACATCCAAAAGATGTATTAGAACTGATAGTATTTTCCCTTTGAGGTTGTCCATTTCGCCAGTGTCCCTACCTGCTGTCATTATCCTTTCAACTGATCGTCGAACTCTGGGTTGGTTCATTCAACTTCAACCTGCTGAGCTGCCCATGGAACTGAACTCTCTAATGATCCTCTGCTGGGTTTTTGGCCAAGTTCAATGCCTCCTCTCCTGTGCTGCTATCTCTATCGGTTAATTATGCGTTTGCCAGCATGTCGGGCAATGGACTTTCGGTAGTCCAGAGGTCCAAAAGGTCCAAACAGAACTGACATCAAATTAAACAACGAAATGTGACAGGAGTGCAACTGTGAAAGTGCAATGGCCAATGGAGCGGACTACAAACAAAACCACCGACCCAATCGAAAACTGGACTCGAACTTTGAGAAATTAGTGTGACAAGCACACGATTTCCACCTGTATATAGAGCTCTGACCGTAACTCGTAACTGTTCTTTGCCAATATGCAGTTAGGACCGATATTGCAACCCCTGGCGATGTTTTTATATATATTCCAGCAGATCGCATAGACAAAAGGTCGTTGTCGTCTGTTCCCTGAGGGGAGCCACTCATTTCAACTCCAACTTGGGCGAGGGTTCAACAAACTGCTTTTATCAAAAAACTGTTGCACTTTCAAATAAACTAAGCTAATGTGCCAGAGGGGAGAAGTCGACAGTACCTCACGCTGAGCGAAAATCCTCGGTCAAATAAGGATGAAACTACTCGATTTCCTTACCTTGAATGGCAAATACTCTTCTTGGAATTTGCTGATGTAGGTCATTAAACTTGTAGATATACAGTACAGTATTAATTTGCGTAATTTTCTAAGCATTTTAATTATTTCAAACTAACTAATAACAATAATAACGTATTCAATTTTAAATTAAAAGATTTTTTTCCAAAAGATTTCTTGGCAATGCAAACTTAAACACGTAGCTAAGGGTACCCTATGGTAGACTCATCTAAAAGCCGCTTCGGGAGAGGTCCTGGATGCGTGGCATGTGGCTTGTGCCACAAACGAGCCGCAGGATCGAACTGGGACCAAGAACCGGGATCGAAATCGGGATCAGGGCCCGGGAAGACCCCAAAGCGACCAATCAAGCAGCGGACCCTCGTGCCGGGGCTTCTCCACAAAAGCCCTAAGTTGGCTCGTGTCATCTGTTGAATTATAAAATATGGCAAGGAATTAATTTGGCCAACCCCTGCTGGCTTGGTCGCCAGAATCTGGCACAGCAGCAGCAGCAGCAGCAGCAGGAAAAGGACCAAAGCGGCAGCAGGATAACGATCCCAACCGATCCGATCCGATTCGAATCATCTACCGCTATATGCGATGTGCACTGTTTTGCTCTGCTCTTATCTGGCAAGAGCACCTGTCGCCCGAATCCCAATACCGAATACGAACTCAAAACTGAACTCGAATACGAATCCCGGTCCTGGAAAACAAAACGAAAGGTGCGCTTAAATTCTTATAATGACTTGGCTGGCTCGCGTATTCAACCTGCTGATCTTCTGATCCCTTGAGCCCTTAACCTCACCCCTAAAACTGTTGCATCTTCGGCCGCAATTTGTTGGCCATTGTGTTAGTATATGTTATGTGTGTCTGCCTCCGTCTGCTGCCGCCTCAAAATCTGTCTATAATCTGTGTTTTTTCGGGTTTCAGAGTCTGAAAACACCTTGAGATCGGTGTATTCCTTCGTCTTTGCACCTTTTCTTAAAAAATCCGTACCAATTTCATGTTTAGATTTTGTCATTTTAATTGCCGGGGCTTTAGCCTTTTGTTTTGCGTTTTGACTTAACCTTTTGTTTTGGCTCTTGTCTTCGCAACCCTTTCGCTAAGCCCAGCGGATTGGTCATTGATGTCTTACCTTCTTTTTGTTGTGTTGCCAATTAAGCTCTGCGAATAGATTTCACAATTTGCCTTGTCGACCCAAGAGGGGTTGCAGTTGCATATTTGACTTGGATTTGTCCTCTGCACTCAAATCGAAACAGCTTAAGATTTTCCCGGCGTTGGGGGGTTGGAGACTAATCTGCAACTTGCAGACTAGTCGTTGACACGGCACTCTATTGGCTTCCGATTTGGCCAGCGAACTTGGGCCAAACTGCAACAGTATTTGTTCTCTTGGCCAAGTCTGATTAAAGACCGGTCAATGCAATCTCAACTTGAAGGGAAGGAGATGGGTTAACAATTTCTTTAAAAAAATAAAAAGAAGGTTCTATTTCCTTCTCTACTCCAACTAGAACTAATCAAAATATGACTACTGTAAGGACTCCAGAATGACTTTACAATTGAGAGGACATGTAATATATTTTTATGACAGCATATGGAGCCCGTCACCTGTCCTTTTATGCCCATTCCCAAACACCTTAATACTTTCGTCGTCTAACAATCAATTTCGAGCAGCCCATCCAGCCAGGTGACAATGCTCAATCAAACAAAAGTGAAGCAATCATAACTTATCAGTTTCGAAAAGAAAACGAAAGAAGGAAACAAAAATGTAGGGACAAAGGCAAAGAAGAAGCCGGCGGTTGGTGGAAATTGGGTCAGTTTTGGCCTGGCCAACAAGTCGATCTTGTAATATCGATCGAGCGTGACAGGTGCAGCGGCGCACTTACGACTGTTGTTGCACCTTCGCTTGTGGATTTTAAGCGACAGCTTGTGGCTCAAAAACACACTCGCCAGTTACTCCCCTGAGGGCCAAGATTAGATCCAGATCTCTCTCTCTGTCTGTCTTCCGAGATCGGTTGTATATTTTTGCGGTCTGTCCGTCTGAGGGAGAGATTTTTACGACTGTTGCATCTTTTGGCTTCTGCTGTAGGTGCTGCTAAAATTTATGCACTGCAAATAAATTTTGGGGTGCTTAAAGATACGTAAAAACATATTCTTTTCAGAAATTTTTTGCTGAGAAATTAAACAGAAATTATTATTTTGATAATGCTGAATTTTAATTTTTAATATTTTTAGATGACTATACTATATAATAACAATCTCAAAGATTGGCTTGTATAGGTAAGTACTCTGTTTTTTTTTTTAAGTGCTGGCGATATAGCTGGTGTCGTGTGGCCCATGTCAACTGGTTGCAGGTCGCCGTTGTAATTTGCCTCCTGGCATATGGCTTTTTGCCGCAAACCGGCTTTGAGCACGCGTCTCGTCTCGTCCTGGCTCAATAATTGTGCGACAGGTTCCAGGATTCCGCCAGCAGCAGCAGCAGCAGCAGCAGGAGCAGCAACAGCAGGAGGAGCATCAGAAACGGCAGCAGGTGCTCAATGCTGCTGGAGGGAATCGGGAATCAGCGCCAGGCTGCTTACAACGAAAGGACATAAACATAAATGAGCCGATGTAATGTTGAGTCGCTGCTCCGCTTCTCGAGGAGAGTCCTTCCGTCTCCCTCTATCTGTGCCTTACAGGTGCCTTTTGCGGCTGCATCCCCTCCGAATTTTTAATTGTGAGCCGGGCTCTCGACTTCACCTGCAACACACAACTGACCTAAGACATCTTTTTTGCCCTTGCTCTTGGCCGTGCTCTTCACCTTTTTTTCTTGTATTTTTCTTCTTCTTTTTTAGCCGCAACTATTATTTTTATTAATAGCCAAAGTCAAAAGTCACCTGCCCGGCACCAAAAAGGCCCAAAGAGCTAAGGGTAGCCGGAAAACGGAACCGAATGGCGTGAGGGGGGAAAGGATCTGAAGACATGATGTTGCGGGTACTCTAGGGTCCTCTTCTAGACCACTTCTAAGATCAATTTCCTTTTCACAAACAAAATGTTACCCCATCCCAGATCATGGGTTTTCCATTGTTTGCATTTTGGGGTTGCAGCTTTTCAGTCTTTTTGATAGCCACAATTTTTGTCGTAGCTCTTCTTTGTTTCCATGGGGGCTTGGCCCGACTGTTGAATAAATTCCAAACGGCATGACAAATTATGTGGGCTCAGGTGTTATGCGGAAAAAGGGGTTAATAAACCGAGAGACAGCACTGCGGAGAAACTCCAGCATATGGCCTGTAAATAATTATCTTTGTAGCTGATCGGGAGTGCATTATAGAAAGTAAACTATAACTAACTGGGAGTTTCTTTCTGAATTATTTTCTTTTGATTACATTGAACTGGAATAAGGATCTGTATCTTTTGCTTTAACTTATAATTTTAGGTTCCATAACACCAAAGATCTGATAACCAATAAGATTCTGCTAACAAAGTTCTCTAAGACTTATAGTATCTTCCGACCTTGAGCTGGTCAATTCCCTGCCTGGTTGATCCACCTGCTCATCTTATGCAAAAGCCATTTCGTTACTATAATCAACAGTTCCAGATGCATCTACATTCTTTGGCTTTCGATACTTACTTTGTCGGCACTTGGCGGAAAGTCCTTGAACTGCATTTTTCTTCGGCCACAATTGAACTGCATATTTCTCTTTCCCACCCTTCTTTTTTTTTTCTTCTTCAATATTTTGTCAATTTCGATCAATTTGTGGCGTGCCAAAGTCCAAAAGAACAACCCGCCGATCGAGTTTGGTTGCACAAAAGTGGTCCCCCATTGACATCCTTCCCGCAGAGGTTCGCTGATTTCGTCGATTTCTGATTGCGTCTCTCGATGAATGGCGATAATGAGGGAAGTCGGTGATTTGTAAACTGCCAAACTTCATTTCGGGCGTTTTAAAGTGCCGCAAAATGCATTCGGACATTTCGATTACCCAAAATTGCGATCAGCAAACCTCAATGACCATTGCTCCAGCTCTACCATCCCCCCCAAACATACCCCTTCAGCGCATCATTTCTCACTTTAGTTCGTCAGCAATTAGTTCGAACTTCGAACACTTATTGGCGTTTTCCCCAAGGGCGGAGGGAAGGGGAAGTACCTGCTGCTGTAACGCGGCGACTTACAAAGGGCATTCCCCAAATGCCACATTGGGCACAGATCAAAGATCACCGCGTCACCCGAAACAGGAGCAACTTATTCCCCATCAATCGAGTACGTGCTGGAATTCATCTATAAAATCAGGTTTACGGCCCAAAATCCACGAAAAAAATATTTGGAGCGCTTTGGACAATTTGTATCAAAATGTGTAACTTCAAAGAAGGAGGCATTGTCCTTGATGTTCAGGAATTTCTTAGCGGAAGGATCGAAAGGGGATGATCGATATAATGAGATATTTAACCCACATAAGGCAGAAAGGGTTTGTTGGGCCAACCAGCCAAGGACAAAACGGAGGGTTAATCAGCAGTTTCTAGTTTGTTTTGATTATCTCAGTTTCGCATGCGCTTTACTGTTAGTTGGGCCAAGAAGCCAAAGACAAAGACGGATAAGCAGCGACGGGTTTGTCAGCAGTTTCTAGTTTGTTTTGATTATCTCAGTTTCGCATGCGCTTTACTGTTAGTTGGGCCAAGCAGCTAAAGACAAAGACGGATAAGCAGCGGCGGGTTTGTCAGCAGTTTCTAGTTTGTTTTGATTATCTCAGTTTCGCATGCGCTTTACGGTTAGTTTGTAGCGCATGCGCTTTTGGAAGCTTTTGTAGAACTGCTTTACCTCGAAGCTGTACTTCTTGCATTCGGCGTGGTTTTGTTGCGAAGTTGATTTGGTTTTGATTTGAACTCGAAATAAAAATTTAGAAATAGAACTTCCCTGGCTTATTTATTCTACAGTAATTAAAAAATCTTAGTTGCTCAACATGGTTAATTAACTTGGTACCTCTTTTAAAAACTGCTTATCAATCGATGAGCATCCATTTAGTATTTAATATTTTCCCATCTTTTAATAGATATTACCAACAAAATCTCATAAGTTTGTTCTCTTTTAGCTTTCAACTTTATTTTCCAAAAAATCATATAGAATTCTAATAAATATAATTACAATAAAAGTCATTGGTTAAATTATAAATTAAGAATAAACTAAAAATTCGCATAAATCGTATAAATAAATGTGTGGGATGCCATCGATAAACTTAAATAAATAAATATAAAAACTAAATTTAGACAAGTGGTCGCCAAGTGGTTGGGGGGGTGATTTAATTTGTTTTGAGGTTGTTCTTTGGTACGTTTAGCTGCCAATTTTGGGTTAAGTTTAAACCAAATCGTTAAGGGTTAATGCAATAAATTAAATTAGTTATTACAGCTACGTTTTAACAGCTATAAGAAGAGTCTTGTTTTGGATAACTATATATACAGGCAGTATCTTAGCTAACAATCTAACTTTTTAACTAACTTATAAATCTTTGCGAAGGCCTAAACAAAACAAACTTTGGCTTCATAGCAACGACTTAGACTTAGGGCCAACTGTGATCTGCTCCTTCGGCTGGTTCTTAGAGTGTGTCTCCTGCGATCCTGCTTAGCTAATACTGGGATCTCCTCGATCTGGGATGTCCTAGCCTTGGTCAGCAACTGCTGCTGCTCACCTCCATCTTCAGTGGTTTCATATCCTCCATAGGTGGCGCTTCTTCATGACGACTCTCCCGATGACGGCGTAGATCAACCTTTCGCTGGAAGGATTGATCGCAGAGCAGACAACCGAAGGGCTTGTAGCCCGTGTGCTTCCTCATGTGCGTGATCAGGTTGGAGCTCTGACTGAAGGCCTTGAGGCAAACGGTGCACTTGTGGGGTTTCTCGCCTGGAAAAACGCAGGGAAATCGATAAATAACAATTAGTTAAATGCCAGTTCAAAGTTTATTAATTGTGGTGGTCAGCTTTACAGCAATTAGACAAATTGAAAGGTGATAAAAATCTACACCCTCAGGAAGGGTGGTTCTGTTTACATTACTTTCTGACACATTTGCTTAGTCCCCAAAGGATGGCTTTGATTTCCAGGGAATTCAACTTACCGGTATGTATGTACGTGTGCTTCTTCATGTCCGACTTCTGGTGGAACCTTTTGCCACAATATTGGCAGGGATATGGCCGGGTATCGCTATGGATAAGCAGATGCGTGGACAGGGTGGATGAACGCTTGAAGCTCTTGCCACATTGTTTGCACTGGAAAAAAAAAATAGACAACAAAAATCAACATTAAAACCAAATTCAAACAGAACGAGTCACGATTTGTTAAGAACCCAGAATGCCCCATATTTGAACAGCCTGTGTGTATCCCCAAAAAACCAAATAATCAAAAAATCTGAAAAGAATTAAAAGACTCTCTATATGTATATATATAGAAATCCACCTTTTGTGTGCCTCTGAGCCAAATTCGCAGTGGTAACATGAATTAAACTAGATTTGTGAGTGATCAAATATTTGTTAGACAGGTGACGACAAGCTTTGGGCCAAAAGGGAAAACCCAAAGACCAACTTGGTTAGCCCACATAAGACACTCAGAGTAGAAACAGCTATGTAAACAGGCTTTCGTCTCGTTCCAATGCTAAATCTCAAGTGAAATACTTTCTAGTGGTGGTAGCTTATATATATACATAGATATATATATGTATATTTGTGGGCCAAACACAGCTGGGGCGGAGTCGGAGATCGATCGGGGATTGGACGGTTCCACTGGCTGTAACATCTTCGGTTGTCAGATTAAATGTTTGAACAGTTTGCCAGTTGCAGCAACATGCAAGTAGCCAAACATTGACATAACACAACTCAAATCGTCGGCCTACGTGGGTGACATTTATTAAACACAAAAAACAACAACACAGAATATGCTTTAAAAAAATGTGAGACAATTTTTCGAAAAAAAAACCACGCGTAATTGTAAATTGACACAAGTGTCGGTTTTTAAAAATTTCTTTCAGTTTTTTTATTGATTTTTTTTTGTTATTTATTTTTAGTGGCTTGTTTTTGGGATTTTCTATTTGCGCATTGCATTCGAGTGGACCATATCCACATTGGCTAGACTCAGACCCAATTAGTTGCTCTATTGTTAAGCTGCGTTCGACTGCCTGAGCCACAAAGTCAATTTGCTTAGCTCTGACAACGGAACGGAAGTTGGCAAAGCTCGAAAAAAAAGTTAAGTAAAGTAAAAAGAGCTAAGGAGAAACCCCAAAGTCTGAGTCAGCCGGGTGGGCCTCCTATGGTGAACAGATGTAAAGCACGAATTACAGAAAAAAAAAAGAGATATATATTCGAATTTATACATAAACAGCGCCTGCGCCTGCGCCAAAGACTCTGAGGCAACTGTCTTTTGGCCATATGGCCTGGCCAAGTCCTGAAGCCCGTAAACCTATCGCATTTCACTGACCCTTAAATGTGTGAAAAAAAAGGGAACAAAAAAAAAACAAAACAAAAAAAAGTGAACTCGCGGCTGGTGTTGATGGATATAAACGCAATATGACATCGGGGGTAGGCATAAGGTATAAGGGTAAGTCGTCTCAAATTCCTCAGGGTCGTGTGCCCTCCTCTTAGGCCCTCTACGCGGGCGGGCAATCCAATATCGAAATGACAATTATGATTGTAATTTGTACATAAATCTTCGTGGGTCAACCCTTACCCCAAGTCCCCCCAACCCCAACTATCGCTAATCAAAATTATTTGATTAACTAATTGCGTGATTTCGATGGGACTTAATTGAATTTCCATAGAGCTCTCTCCATCGGTTTGGTTTGTATTACCAATTTTATTACACTATTTGTTGTGCCACTTTTCCAAATTGAAAGTGGCAAGAGTGTAGAGGGGGGTAAGAGGGGTAAGCGGGTTTTCGGCTCGGTGACAATTAAAACCCTTCGAGGACAAAATATGAAACAATTAACACAAGGGAATTGCTAAGAACACGCAACCTTATGCAATGAAAGTATTAAACTTTCGAAGTGGGTTTGAGTTTTGGTTCTATATAGATCATAGTCTTGGATGGACACGTGATAAACCCATTAGAGTGGAGTCAGAGTTCAGAGATTTTCAAGAGATTTGCCCTCGATTTCCTTTTTCTTATATATATATATATATATATATATCCCCCTGACCATATCCTGTTTTGAGAGTGCTTACCTGGAAATTCCTGCCGCTGCGCTTCTCTTCGTTTTCGCCCTGGTAAGAGGATGAGGAGGATGAACGACGCGCAACATCTGTGGCCGTCGAGTCAGGATGTTGCTGCTGATGCTGATGATGTTGGTGCTGCTGCTGCTGGTGATGCAACTGTTGCTGCTGCTGCTGCTGTTGCGGCTGTTGGTGTTGATTACGCATATAGCCAAATTCGGCGGCTGCCACCAAATTCATGAGAGCTGCTGCCGAGCGGTTATCCTGCTGCTCGTCCTTGATGCGATGCTGCTGTGGCTGCTCACTTTTCTGCTTCAAATGCTGGGTAAGTAGCTCCAGATTGTTGCCCGTTAATCCGGCCATGAAGGCGCTACGATGGGCATACAATTGCTGCTGGGCCACCTCGAATTCCAGATCCTGGGCGGAGTTCGAGGCTGGAGCGGAGAGCGAAGAGATCGGTGACTGTAGCGATGATATGGAAGCTGTTCTTCGTTCGTACTTGAACTTTCGCACAATGGGATCCACCTGGTTCTCTTCATCACAGGCCTGCTCCTCCATTTTCAAGCCATACTGATCCCTTCTCGCTGATCTCTCGCACATCGAAGCCGGTGACCAGATGATATTACCCTGCGATCTCTGGCGTTGTTGATGTGGTGTTCCCGAACTCTTCAGATTCACTGCCCTTAAAGGAGGCGGTGTCACATTTAGAGAGGTCATCGGATGCATTGACTCAGCATCACTGCTGGAGCTGCTGCGGCTGCTGTTGTTGCTGCTGCTGTGATACTGATCCTGATTGGAAAGATTCGAGGTGATGCGTTCCTTGGTGCTCAGATTTAAGGGCATATCTTCGTCCTGCTCCTGATCCTCATGCTTATCCACCACATTGTTATTGTTCATCTGCAGTTCATGCTCCTTTTCGGGTGTTAGGGCAAAGTCACGATCTCGCTGTCCCAGAACCACAGAGGCTGGTGATTTTGGGGTCATGGGGGTCAGCGGGGTACCCAAAGCTGTTGCCGAGGACAACAGGAATTGGGGCCACAGAAGGGCACTCGAGTAGAGCAGTGGGTTGGACCAAAAGGGTAAATCTATGGGAAGGAGATTTATTAAGAAACCTGATTAGTTGGGTTCAAGAGTTAGGAAGGGAGAAAAGTATCTTTAGACTGCGGATAGGGATTTGGTTCTTATTGTCCAAATTTTTTTCAGATTCTTCAAGAAACTTTAACTCAGATGAGAGATAAGTCTGATAACCTAAACTTTACACGAATCTTCTCCGTACTTTTCTGGCAATCCAAATGGATCAGAAACTCACCTCTTCCATTGAGTTTCTGTGCCGCGGCGGAGGCTATCACAGTGTTGAAGGCGGATGCCCGCTGCATCCACTGCTTGTCTAGAGCTGCTCCATGGCAGCCCAATCCCGCTGGACTTGGCTGCTGGGAGTGCGGTGATGGCGGCGGCGATAAGTGATTCATTTTTGATTTTAGATCTTAACTTTGTGACTGGTCACTTGTTTGAATTTTCTTGGTTTTTTTCTTATTTGTTTTACAGTCTTTGGGTGATTTTTCTCAGTACTTTTCACTGCACAAATCTCACTTTCTTAGCGGATTGATCTTCGATTCGAACGGATCTTGGTTGGGTAACTCTCATGTGCGGTATTCTTGACTAACTGGAGACGAACACGTCCGTATCGCTCGGTGCTTCGCACCTGACTGAATCTTTGGTCGATGGCTCGGTTCTAAATTGAGCCAACGGTGAAGCGACTTGGCCAGGCCCGAAAATAAAAGGTACAAATCGAGCTCTCTTGTTTTCCTCCCGTGTGTGTGTGTGTGTGAGTGTATTGTGGCAGCAAGCCGAATCAAAACGGGCCCTCTGTGTATTGGTGTTGACTCTTTGGTGGTAGTAGTAACAGTGGTGGTGACTCTCGGTAGCCCTTCAATGTGTTCGTGTTACCAACTCTGGTTTTTCACCTTTGGCAGCAGTTGGCGGCTGTTGCAGTCGCCGCTCTATCGTGTCCTGTTCATGTTGTAAGGGTCAAGAAGACGCACAGTTAGGAGTCCTCTGACGCCCCCATCCCTTGCAACTACTATCTACTACTGGTTTTCTTCACTGCAGCACGCGTTTCCCTACTAATTGGTATGCTGTTAAAGTTTGGCGGGCGTTTTTTCTTCTTTTTTTTTGTCCTTTTCCCGCTTACCGCTTGTAACTGTTACAATTGCTATTGCTGTTGCTGTTGCTGTTGCTGCCACCAACTGTTGTTGGCTGGGACTTTGGCTAAGGGAGTGGAAGCGGGATAGAGCCAAGAATCGGCAGAGGATTTCTCTACTGATCGCTGATAGAGAACAAGGACGAGGGCGGGAACCAGGCGGGATAGCCTACAAATATTTAGGTGGATGAATCCACAGATCTAACATCTGTCGTGGCAACTCCACATGCCACAATTGATCTAGGAAATATTTGTAGATAATGTTTAGATTATATTTAGATTTGACCAAGATTATGTAATGATTATTAATTTTTTTAATTATTTTTTAGAAATATAAATTTGGAAAGTGAAAGATAAAGATTTGAATGTAAATGTAAAGTACAAAATAAGATAAATTAGGCAGCTACTATCATAGCTTTAAGTTATAAAGATCGTTTTAAGACTATTAGAAGAAATCTAAACTTAAAACAAAAATCACAAACGAATATGATAAAAAACTAATTTGGTTTAAATACAAAATTAAAGTTTTTGGTTTTGGTCTTAAAAAGCAAACTCATTTTGTATAAATAAAATAAGTTTTTTTACAGAAGCTCAAGAAATATGAAATAGTATTTATATAGGGTGGCCCACGGAAGATTAGTGTTAAAAATCGCTGTAAAAATATAAATATTTCCCTATTTTCTTTGAGCCTAAACCTAACAGCTTCGTAAGCCGCAAATCTTCTACTAAATATCTGACACATTGACAATGACATTCCAAATGACAAAGTCAAAATGATCGATAGTTAAAAAAGCAAACGCTACATGGGCCACCCATCCTGTAAAAGGAATTATTTTTATTAAGAAATACTTGATCCTTTTTTAGCTTACTCAGATTTTCTAACATTTTTTGTAAATGATAATAAGAAATCAATAATAATGTTGTCAATGTGTTTTCTTAATATAATTTCAATAAAATATCTTCAATCAATAATTGTAGGATCTTTATAAGTAATTTTACTTTATATAATTTTAATACGAATTACTTTACATAACTGACTTCCCTTGATTGCGATTTAAAACTGAATCGTTTCTTAGCCAATGGTTTAATTTCCCATTAAAACAATTTAAAAACTATAAACCTTAAAGATCCCTTAAAGATCATTTCGTTGGATCGTATATATTAAACCTTTCAGATAGGACGAGCACCTGCCACTTTCTCCCTCTACCGATCGGTGCACCTTTTCCCGAGCTTATCCTTCGGCATTTCGAGAACCTCCTCCTCAGTTTGGTCCTTCGCCACGCTTGGCCACCTCGTCTTGGCCGCCTCAATTCCAGTTTATCTATCCTTGGCGCGGGCCAACACCTGCCTAGAAAATTGACTAAGAAAAAGAAGTGGCAGACGCACACTTCCACATTTAACGATCCTTTTCCTTGTCAGCAATTTTTTTTCCCTTCCCCTATTTTGGCGCAATTTCCTTGGCCAGGACATGTGCAGAGTTGAGGCGACATCGAAATTCCTATGGACTCGTGTTCGCCACGGGTTCTGCCGATCTAGCGAAGCGGTACGAGGCACGCGGCCTCAAAGCGGGCCAAAATGGGGGAAGTTGAAAAACTGCCACCGCGATGAGGGCTGGCCAACTTGGTGGCATCGTTGCGCTTGGCGGCGTTTCTTTTTTTTTTTTTTTTTTGTTGAATTTTTGTGGAGTACTGAGGGCGCGTGCTCATCCCCTGCCGCTTTGTAACGGATTCGCCGTATGCCGCTGACATCTATCATTGTTTGATAGGCGGTGGTACACTGGGAAATATGAATGGGGAAACAAAATTTGTGATTATGATGTTAGATTTATAAGGTAATTGGAATGAAATTAAATAGTATTAACTTCCTAAATAATGCTACGATAATCCAAAAGTAAGATAAAGTTCTGATTATCATTAAGTAAATATTGTAAATTGTTCTAAAAAAATCTAAAGAAAGGGGAAGCCTGAACAAAAATTTAACCAAAATCCCAAATTCCTCAAAGAACATTACATATATCAGATTAGTACTTTCGAAGAATAGTTCGTAGGACAAAACTTGATTATATATCAAACTTAATAATTAACATTTAAGCTACAAAAAAATTAACATTTAAGTTGACAAAATGTTAGTAGCCCCTTAAGTTTTATGATCAATTTTGTTAGCACTAGCATGTAGTACAGATCATTAATTTTTTTATGTGCAAGACACCACAGGTAAAGCAGCCCGTGAGTCGTAAATAATTTCCATTCTCTGTTTTTCGTATCGGGCGACATTTTATTTACGACACCCTCTGAGAGCCCCTGTGTGTTTGAGCAAATTCCACACTCTGATGGTCGGAAACTCGGAAATGCCTTTGCACTTGGCTCGTGGCTCTTGGCCCGCTGCTTGCTGATTGGCTGAAAGACTGTTGAGAGGGCGGGTAACACCTACAGCGAACGGGTTTGCCTCTGTATGTGTGTAAGCCAGTTCGTCGTGGTGAGGTGAGTTTCGGCTTCAGGCCAACTTCGGCGGTGTGTTTGTGTGTGGGTTGTTTGGACCGTTAGATAGATGTTGGATTGGCTGAATGAAAAACACCTTTGATGAATGGTCAAGTTGACTCAGTGAATGGTTAAGTAAAGTGTGCTATTAACTGAGAGGCAATAAGCTAAAACGATTGACGACGGATTTTTCGTTAGATTAGGCAAATTAAAATATATATCATATATATATTTTTTTAAAGTTTTTACTTACGTCCATAAGGTTATTAAATATTGTTAAGTCCTTGAAATTTTAAACTTTATCTCCTTTTTAAGAGAAGTATAAAAAATATTACATAGAAATTTAATTGGTTTTGAATCAACATCTTTCCCTGATTTAGTTATGATTTTAAATATGATTTTCATTTTCAATATTAATAAGATGAACGAAATATTTAAAGACGAACTTATATTCTGATTTTTAGCCCACAAACTATTTAATTACTGAGATTCCTTTCCGTATTAGCCTTAACTCTCCTCACCCACTTGGCCAATCTCTACTGATTTATCGTACTATCTGCCGACAACGTTTTAAGCACCGAGAGACCATTTAAGTATTCTCTATTTGTCTCACAGTGGGTGCTGGATGCTGGCCAAGAAAATTCCTTACAACAAATCAGGCGGAAATCTGTAATAAATTTATTATTATGTAGCCTGGCCATGTGGATTATAATTGTGTTGGCAACAAATGGAGGCCGGAACGATGCCCACAGCGTGGCGACAGTGGCCACCGACTGGCTACTGGTTATGAGCACGACCAGGAGGAGTCGCTGTCGCCCGGTTCATATCGTGCAGATTGTTGGCAATTATTAAAATGATAATTGCACAAATCTGGCTATCAATTGACGACCATCGAAGACCTTAGACCAGGCCGCGCAACCGCAGAAGCAAGCCAATGGACGGCCAAAACGAGCGAAAGCCGCGCACAGAAACAGCGAAAACTGCAGCGCAGACGCATTCGCAGATGCAGAGTCAGCGGGCTCCCATTTCCCAGTTTCTCAGTTACCAGTTCTCCAGTCGTCTAGATCTCCAGTTGCTAACTCCAGCTCTCTTTTCTGGCTTGGTCTTTTCTGGCTCCTACCTCTTATCATGCGGCGTTGGCGCGCTGTGCTGCTTTTCGCCAGCGTTGACAATTTGGTATTAATTTAAGACAACAGCGTCGGCCACAACAGCCGACCAGGCCCAGACAGTTGGCCACTTGGGCCACAGCAGAGTCAGAGGCACAGCCGCAGTGGAGAGCAAAACAAAAGACGGACATTTACATGCTGCCAACGAGGCTAACAATGAAATCTGCGTAGTTTGTTTTGGCCTACAGAAGGAGGGGTCGCAATCGGCTAGCTTAGTCAGATCGGAAATGTGACCAGAGGTGAGACAAAATATTCTAAGATATTTGTTTATATTAAAGCAATCCTTGTAGATTTATTTTCAAAATGAATTATGAGATTTAAAATTTTTTATCAAAATTAATATATAAAAAATGCATTACCATTATGAAATAAATTCGATGTGTTTATTAAAAACCGAACCTAATTTTTATAAAAACTAAAGTTTGTAAAACTAAGAGCGTCCTACCATTCCCCTAAACATATTTTTAGTATTTTTGAATATCATAAAATCAAATTTCAAAGCTCTGAAAAATGCAACCTGGTCCCACTTACCATTTTCGCTCTGCTTTGCTTTGCTTAGTTTTCCTTTGTTTTTGGCTAACTTTTGTCCCTACACTGCGTCTGCGCACAATTATAAAACAAAATTGATAAAATTATTGTTGCTGTTGTTAGAGCTCTCCGCTGGCCAAAGGAGCCTCGATGGGCGATTAGTCCAAAGCCAAAAGGTTGCAGTTGCCCCAACTGACCAACATGGATGGCTTGGACTATGGGGCATACCCGACCCTACTTTCGCATGATGAAAATCAGCGAGGAGCGCTGGAAAAAAAAGCAAATAGAAATCTATGGTAATGCGGATTGGAAGACGAGGACCTCGAACTATTCGGTAGG